GTTACAGGTTATATAAGCAGGCAGCTTGCAACGATTCGCAAGATGATCTCCACTATCCCACCTGCAACAATTTTTTTCTGTATGTTTTGCGTGAAACGATTTTTTCTTCCCCAATTCGTTTTGCGATCTTTTTACATTACTTTTGTTCACGCGTATGTAATTTATTTCGATTTTTACATTACCCGTACCGAAACAAATGGTCTCTTTTTCAGAGAGCTCCATTGCGAGTGGCAAATTCAAGGCTGTAGTAAATGTTAAATCTTAAGTTTTGAGGAGCCAAGCTTGTATGCGTTTGCTATGTATATCGAAAATCAGTTGGTTTCGTAGAGCACTATCTTCGTAAGCGAAAAAATTGCAATTTATACTTAGCTTTAGTGAAGCGTCAGCTAATGTTAGGACCGACACCCCGGGCAGCTGTTTTCTGCAGTTGAAGCTAAAACATTGGGCAATTTTCAGCCCCGCAGACGCCTACTGTTTCTTCAGTTTGTCTTTTATTTTCATGTAGGTTTTGTTGTAAGAGTTTCCCTCTTCAAACTTGTCACACAATAGCTTGAATGCTTCCTCTCTGATGTAATGCAGTAAAAATTCCGTTTTGTTTGCTTCTTTGACATTCATTATTGCACGTGTCCCGCCGCAACACTGTATCCATCTTGTCACATTTGAAGATTTAGGTTGGAAGTATTGTATTTGCATCTGTGGTATATTTCTTACGCTGAGTAAAGAAGTAGACGTAGTCAATGTCAATGTTAAAATGTAGGCCCTGTGATTGTTACCATTTTTGTATTATTTCGACAAAAAATATTTGTATAAGCTTGTATTGTTGTAATACACTTGTCGTTATTTCAAAACTATTACCATGGATGAAAATCTTTTCTCGTTATTTTAAAAAGTGTAATATACATGAGCGTGGTAGTTTTGAAGACGTTGAGCACGTGCTGCACTTTTGCCACTCCTGCTGTTCACCATCCTCGTCGACAATTTGTAGAATCTTAAATGTGGGTTAAAAAATCCGTTATAAATATAATTATAGAATAGCACAGAGTATGTAAGAATGATTAATTATACTTATGTTTAATGTCAAAGAATACACACGAGATACACACCTAAAAAAAGTGTAAGAAATTTTTTAAGGAAATCCAATATTAAATTATAAAATGAGCAAAGATTCGTCAAAGTACAAATACAACCGAAATTTATTCTTTATCTTTGACTCTATCGTTTAAGCTTAAAGAAAAAAAATTTTTCAAAAAATTATAGCATGGTTATGAAACAAGTATAGTCCAGCCCAACATGCATCAGTTGTTGATAATTAATGCAGAGTAGTAAGGGAAGGATTCAGCTGCAAATTTTTTTCCAGTTTCTATGTTAAGAAATAAGAGATAAGTGTCCGAGGAATTTTTTTTCATCGCTTATTTTCGATTTTACAAGTTATAACAAATTTTAAAATAGTGGCTGGACACTCATTTTAAACAATGTATAGCTCCAAATCCTTAAGAGCTACAAAATTTTCACACATCGCACTTTTGTAGCTAAAGAGTTGAACTCTAAAAAAAAATTGAAAAAAAAAACTATCAACAAATTATTATTGTTACTAATAATTTAATTGTTTTAATCGATTTTGAACAATTACCACCAAAATAAATCGAGTTTTTATTATTACCATCGTATTCTATGTCAAGTTTTACGTAAAAATCATGTTTTTAAAATATAGAGACTTTTCAATTGTGTTTGTTAAAATATTAATTGACGTAGCACGTAATGGTAAAAGAAACTGTTTTTTGAGTGTAAAATGAGATCTTTGCTTCGTATCAAAAACACTTAAAAGTAGAAGTTATAGATAATTGAAAGATCTACAAATTTTGTGTTTACCATACGTCAGTATAACCTCAAAATTTTGTATTATCATGCAATAAAGCGAGAAATTATCATTTTATCATATATTTAGTATTAATTTTCATTAAAATAAAATTATGAGTAATTTGTTTTCCAATTTCATCTCCTGACTCCTAAGCAAATTTTTATTAAAGAAAAAGAAATTTTAACCACTAGACAAAAAATAATAATAACAATGCTCGACGTAACATCAACACGTAAACTGTTTTTTGTTCTTCAAATTTTTTTATTGCTACTTTGTTTTTTATTGTTTTATTAATTGCCTGCTTTTATATAAAAAAAAGATTTTTCATCTCTTTGAATTTTTGGAATTTCAAAACTTCGCGGGGAAGCCTGCCCACCGTACGATCTATGATTCAAAGTGTCACCCACGCTACTCGCGTACTTTCCCCGTACTACAAGTTCGTTGGCTTTTAGATCAGCTGTGCGTTTGTTATATTCCGCTACTAAGACGCATTCTCACTCGTTGTAATTGAAAGTTAAATAATTTTTACGTTGTAACAATGCCACGGAAAGAGGCAAGTTAAAATGCAAAATACTAGTTATCGATTAGACAGATGTTTTAATCCTTTTAATCTCAAAAATCCAACAACAAACACTTCTGATTTGAGAACAATAAAAAAAAACCAACTTTTAAAAGTGGACGAGGCAATTTCGTCAGATGCATTACAACAAAAAATTTGTTCTTGTTGCCGCTTGAAGTTATCAAAGCTGAAAAAAAAAGATACAAAATAGAGTAAAAATGAGCTACCAGAATTGGTACGTACGATATTTTGAATACTATATTAAGTTCAGATATACCTAACCTCTTGTAGAATTTCATGTCTATGTTTTAGTCTAATTTTTTTAGCCGCTACAAAAAGTGGATTCTTCAAGTGAAGAATCTGATAAAAAGTTGGGAACAGTGACGGTACATCTGGATTTTCGGGAGATAATCCATCTTTGCAAAGTGAACGAGTACATTTTTTCAACTAAGAATTAAGCTTCTTAGGATCTTCGCCCATGAAAACCAATTTTAAACCACTTACTTCCGGTTCTGAGCTGCCTTTGATCAATTACAAGGATTGTTTGGATCGTATGGTATGCAAAAACAAAATGACTGATTGTTATTTGAATCCTTGTAAAAAGTGCCCAGGCGTGACGAATGTTATTGAGCTCACTCATCACTTTGAAGACTTTAAAATAGCAGCAGAGTGGCATTTTTTCCCCACTTCACATGAAAAGGGGCCATGCGACAGAATAGGCGGGACTGTAAAATGACTAGCTGCCAGAGCAAGTCTTCAAAGAATTAACAATCCTATTCGAACGCCACGAGAACTTTTCGATTGGGCCACAGAATCACTGCCAAAAATTACTTTTCATTATTTCACAAATGATGATTACTAAGAAAAAAGAAAATAAGTGTCAGAGAGATTTTTGAGAGCAACAACGATTAAGGAAACGCTTAAATATCATAGCATGGTTCTACTGTCAAGAATAAGAAGCGAGGCTGTTTTCTTTGCACGAAAAAACAAACATTGTAAAAATTTTCAAGTGACATAATTTTGTTATGAAACTGTAAAAAAAGTTTTACTTGTACATAAAAGTTTTGTTATATTTATGAATAAATATTAAGGAATCATAATGTTAACATAGTTTTTTATTACACATTTTTATTAATTTAATAAAATATAATTTTTTCAGTTACTATTGCTCATCTCCGTTGTACAAATAAAAAATTACCCCTAATAATTGATAAAATGGTGATTTTTCGCTTTTTGCATATTTATACAAAATTTTGAGGTTATACTGACAAATAGTAAATACAAAAGTTGTAGATCTTTCAATTATCTACAACTTTTACTTCTGACTTTTTGTGATACGAAGTACAGATATTATTTTATACTCAAAAAACAGTTTTTTTCACCATTACGCGCTACAAAATTAATATTTTAACAAACACAATTGAAAAGTCTCCATATTTTAAAAACGTGATTTTTACGTAAAATTTGACGCAGAATATGATTGTAATAATAAAAATTCGATTCGATCTGGGGGCAATTGTTAACAATCGATTTAAAAAATTAAATTGTTAATAACAACATAAATTTGTTGATAATTTTTTTTCAATTTTTTTTAAAGTTTAACATTTTAGCTACAAAAGTGCTATTGGTAAAAATTTTGTAGCTCTTAAGGATTCGGAGCTATACATTGTTTAAAATGAGTCTCCAACTACTATTATGAAATTTGTTATAACTTATAAAATCGAAAATAGGCGAGAAAACCAAAATTCCTCGGACACTTATCTCTTATTTTTCAATATAGAAACTGGAAAAAAATTTTTAGCTAAATCAAAGAGGTGAAGGTCAAAATCCATTTGATTTGTAAAAGAATTGCTCACATACATAGGACACATACACACGCGCGTGTGTTTGGCGAAAATAACTTATGCAGACATTAGGTGTTATCAACATATATATATTAATAGAATTGTGGAATTATGTGGACGTCCGTATAACTTTTTTTTAGCTCCATAATTACCTACTTTACCCATTAATGTTAAAGTTAACATAATTCGCCTTCGTTTAATATACATTTATACATACTTTTCTCAATACATACGTACATCTGGTTGTAAATAACTCTACAAAATAGTTTTTTATTCGTAGGTCTACAACTAGTACAGCTAAAGCCACTGTGGAAGTTACTCGCAGTGCGTACGGAAGCTCGATGCTCGATACCTTCTACATTGAGCCGATTTTCAAAAATTGTAAAATAGTATAAAACTAAAAATGTTGTTAGTTTCTCATCTTAATAAAAGTTAGTTTCCCTTTGCTACTGATGCTTCGTGTCCTTTGAAGGGCCCGAAGTAAACTTATTCACTGACCTTATTTAAATGACAGTATGAAGCTATTAAATCTTAGATACACTAACTGCAAGACAGTGTACTGTAGTTATTGTCAAACACAGATATTGCAAATCTTTTTTTTTTTATTTGGGTTTTTTTATTGTATTTTGAAAAGCTTTCTCTAAAAATAAAGATAAAAAAGAAAAGTACAATAATTTTAGATAAGTTATTGTGCAAAAAAATTAGGGTATAGGTAATTAAAAATGTGATTTTGTCGTACTTGAAACGTATCTCTTGATTATGGAGTACATTGGTTGTGGCACGGGAATCGTACATTTTCTCTATACTCAACGAAGTTAGTTGATTTCCTGCTGATTCAATTTGACAGATTATGTCGACCAAACATTTTGTATCTTCATTTCTATCCAGGAATGCCTGTAAAAAAATGGTAAAATGTCTACATGCGATGTGGTAATCTTTAACTATAGAGATATTATAAGTTCTAAGTACAATTTGCATCATAAAATAATACAAACTTGAAAAAATTATATTAATCTATTAAAACATAATTTTTAGTAAAAAGGAAAGAAACGCAGCAATTTAAAACAAATCTACGTAATGATGAAAAATAATTTAAAAAAAATAAATATTTTTTTGGAATAAAAATTTTACGAGTTAACAAATTTTGCACACCTATCCTTGATTTTAAGCCTCATAATTTTAAATTATAAAGAAGAAACTTAAGTTAAACACAAGCCTTCGAATATTTGTTGACATACGAAGTAAAGACTGAATTTTAACGGTTGTATAATTATTATTTCTGATGAAATCATTTAGTTAGATGAGAAAAAAAATAGAAAAATGTTCTAGATATTATTTTTATTACGAGCGAATAAGAGGAGAAATCTTAAGGACTTGAAGAAATTGCATTTTGAGATTTTGTTATAAATTTTCAGGTTATTTACTTTCTAACCCTTTGTATGAAAACACTTTGTTAAGTATTATTTGGATCTTTAGTATAAATTAATACAAATTAAAATGTATTAGTCTTCATCATATAATTAGGCTATTTAAAGTTTAATTATGATGCAAGAATATTGAAAAAAAGCGTTATTATTAAAGTAGTTTAATTATTTATTTTCATAAGTTCATTAAACATCTTATTTCCATGACTTGAATGAAAATAAATTACGTTTTTTTCTTGCCAGTGCATGTATTTAAAAGAAATGTTTTTAATTCATAATTACCATTTTGTGTCAAACTGTATTTTATTATATTTAAGACTATTATACAATTTTCCTACGTAGTACAAAGCGATGTTAATTTCAGCTTTATTTTTAATATTTATTGCAATTTTCAAGTTCATTTTTCATTCATAATAAGATCAAAATTCGTTTTATGAGTCTACGCTCTGGTACGTGGTCAAAAGCTCAGCCGATATGACAAATAAAGTACTTGTAAAACACTTGTAATATTCCGAGAGAATGCTGAAATGGACCTTCAGATTTCTTGAACAGAAAGTATTTTGGAATAAGTAGCAAAATTATAGCAAGTATTTAAAGGTATATGTATAAAAAATACACATTTTTATTATTAAAATTGAAACTGTTTTAGATATGTTGAAAAGTATATGATTACAATAATAAAAAATTTTAATTATGCGCTCACTATGATTTAACTTAATAGTAACGCTATCTATATTCCAGAACAGTCAGAAGCAGCGTTGGCCACGATAGTGAAAAGTTTAAACCCAGTCGCTACCGGTTCCAATAACAAATAAGAAGTTGTCATAGAGTAGTCATATTGGCAGAGAAATCAGGACTCATTTACTACCCGAAAATTGACTTTGCCAAACGTTTCTACAAGATTAATTATAACAAAAACTATACTGGTAGGAATCTTAGAACTTTATAAGATAAGACGTTTGGATCAACTTAATTCACGTTATAAGGGAATGAGTACACTTATGCATGCACATTTGTATATACACACTAGTGGGCACCAATGCCCTGCACCCTTTGCACGCCAACCCCTCCTCTATCACACTTATATTTAAACACAATACGTGAATGTTGAGAGCTAAATATATCTACTTATACATTTACATAAAGTAATTATGTTAATAAACATATAATTGGCTTTTTTTGCACGTGAATTTAATGACAAGTTGTGAGATACTTATATTATTTTTGACTATAAGGTGTTGTAATTAATTAAAAAATCTTATCTCCGCAAAAGCACTTGAACACATCTTGAAAATTTTACGGCAATTAAAGTTAGAGCGTTGTTTTTAATTCATACGATTTAAAAATTGTTATTTATTACGAATTTAAATTTAAGAAATTATATTTAACTTCACAATATTTTTTCTTATACACAATTGTACATATTCTCATGAACATGAAATTAATTCAGAAATAAAAATGTCGATAAAAAAGAAAGAAATTTTCAATTAATATTATTTTATTGGGTTAAGAAACCAGAAAAAGCAATCAAATTTTACCTTATTAGCGGTAGGGGGTGGTAGGGGCAATGTAGGAACGCCCCACCTTATTAACTGTATAATATATAAACGTATCTTCCTACATAATAAAGTTATTTGTGTAGAGCATTCTACACAACCCCCCACATTTTCTCAAGGCTTCACTGGCCCACCCCAGCCCTCGCACTATTTTTGGAGAATCTTACTGATGTCATACAGTACACAGATATGCACATGTTACATGAATGCATTTCATTTTATTTTTTCATTTATTCCATTACTAAACTACAGTAAGAGAATATTAGTAGGTAGTTTATCCCAATAAGAACGTGAGCAATGCTCTTATCGACTTGATACCACTATTCGCCGACCTCGGAGGAACAGACGCCCCGAAATGAAAGGGCAGAGCCTCCAAGCGGTCAGGTGATCAAACTAAGAGAAAGTTGGTAGGCAGCATCTCCTAATCAAGTCATGACCAGCGCTCTGATCGACTAGATGTTACAGTTCGCCCAGTTCAGGGAAACAGGCACCCCAAGATAACAGCGTAGTGGCTCCAAGCGGTCGTTAATTAGCTGATGCGCGTATTTCTATATTTTTTGTTGTTTCCGGAGACGAGCGTATACATACCATTTAATAATATAAACATGATTTCTTTTTTAAACAAAATAAAACTAATTAAAACATTACTTTATGAAGTGTGAATAGTTTGATGAAGTATAGCAACTACATATCTTTGTTCGATGCGTGACGACTATGACGAGTGAAGTTACTATGAAAGAAGCGACTAACAGGAATTTTTCATAACTTTAGTATTTTTAGGTTTCATTGATATTCATGATTTGTATACATCCTTTGAACTACATTGACTATATTTGAAAGAATTACATTAGCTAATTACAGTGTGAATAATGTATAGGTTTTATTTATATATATTTTTAATAGTTTATACAGCAGGTGAAATTAATGCTGTGTATATTTAAGATGAGCGAAAATCCGCTTATAAGACCCCAAATGAGAAACAAGTTAATCCATTTCCGATTTTATTCCAAATAAATAATGCAACTTACCAGTCGTACTAAAACTATTTTTTCATCTTACAATTTTATACGTTACGACTGTGTGCTTCATTCGGGTTCGGAGTCAAGAATGAAATGTGCGAATTGATAGTGAAGCATGGGTAAATGGGACAAATTATTTACTATAGAAACTTACAAAGAAGTCATTGTACTTTATCAATTAGAAAATAATAGACCTTATTATACGTAAGTACAGCAAAAACCGTACAGTGTACGTACCAAAGTAGATAAGTCAAAAAATGTTTAAAACCGTATGTATATGATACATGTGCAGTTTGCAAATTACTTTTTTCTAATTTCTTAATGGTGGGTAAACGATTTTATATCAACAGGTATAAAATATTTAATACAGATCAATGAAACATTTTATTCGATGATTTTTTAGTATTGAAATATTTTTTATTGTTTTACCTTGTCAATTTAATTATGAGTTTAAAGCACTGTTTGCTAAACTGTCGGTTTATTCAAAAAAATTTTTAATGAAATTTCAACAAAACTTCGTAATATTCAACTTATGTATGCTTGGTTTTATTGAATATTTTAACATCTTATATTGCTGTAGAATGTGTGAAGCAGATTTTAAACGAATAAATAATATAACTGTGGAAAGTAACGCACTGTTAAGAATAAAAGGAAACTATAATTTGCAAAGCATTAAACCGTTGCAAAAAGATACAAGACTGAAAGAAAAATGTGTTTTAGATGCTATTGATGATTTTATAACCAACAGGCATGTCACACTGTCCACCACCATACATCAATATGAGACCTTGCGTACCGCTCAGATAACGCATAACCGACTTGATTGCTGACCAGTGCTCCTTACCATAACAGTTATTAAACTTGATTTAATAATTCAAAGCAAATGTCAAATCAGGCCTTGTGTGTAGTGAGAGATACAAAAGAGAACCAATTGCACTCTGATATGGAAAATGCACCTTATCAGACTGACTCTGCACCTGATCAGACTTCAGAAACAGACCCGGATTCATTGGAATGCTAATTTTATTTGCATCAAGCATGCTCAATCTTGAAAGTACATCCTTTATATAGTCTTTCTAATGAAGATACAACAACCTTTCACTTATGTCCCTTGTTACTCCAACACCAAACAACTTCTTGACACTACCTTAATTCTTTACAGGAAATTCAACACTGAGTCTTAAGAAAAGTTTAATCATAGAATTCATAGTGTTTGAAAAAACTAAAATACCGTCCACAAATAACAGCACATATAAGATTACATCACCAGATGAATAATCATAAACACAAGGATCATATCAGGACTGCCTTAGCCCTAGAGTCCTTAAAAACATATCAAGCTTGGTATTCCATGTCCAGCTGCCCTGCTTCAGACCGTATAACGCTTATTTCAATTGGAGCACTTTATTTTCTTCGCCACATCTGACAGAGCCTGTAGGTTGCTTCATATAAATTTTTTCTTGAAGCTCGCCATGAAGACAAGCTGTTCTTACATCCAAATGTACAATTTCAAAGTCCTTGATAACTGCAGGGGCAGCAGAATTTTAAGGGAATGGAATTATAAGGCCGCTGGTGACAATGTTTCATAATAATCCACTACATACTATTGAGTCAAACCTCTGGCCACAAGTTTCGCTTTAAATCTCTTTGTACCATCAGGATTCGTTTTAATCTTGAATACCCATTTGTTGTCCACAATGTTTTGATTTTCAGGTGGATCAACCAAAATCCAGGTTTGGTTGTTAGCAAGTGATTTAAGCTCTTGATTGATGGATTGTATTCAACTAGCAGATTTGGGGCTCTCAACTGCTTGTTTATAATTTTGAGGTTCACCTAAGCAATCTAAAAATTCTGGTGTTACTTGAAGAACATAGTCTTTTAGAAATTTAGGTTTT